GGGCCACCAAGGAAAAGTGGACTTCCGCTGGTGCACAGGAGGAGGCTAGGTGTCCCACCCCTGGGAGGTGCTGAGGCAGGAATGTGTGTGGTGGGTGTAAGGGCCGCGGGTGGGCTGGGGTGGTGGGATGAGAGAATTGGTAGTGGTGGAGGGCAAGAAAGTGCAGCCTTGAGCAGGGGACTAAAGTGGTTGCACTTCATTCCATGAATAATAAGAATTCAGCATCTTCTGACCAGTGTGACATATGAATTACGGTGTTTTTAGTTTATCAAGTGTGATGGTTCAGAGTGGGAGAAATTCAATGCAGGACCACTATCAAGAGACTTTCATGGTGGTCTGAGTGGTACATCCTGTGGGCTTCAACTCAAGGGGCTATAGGACTTGAGGGGCAGACACAGCACTTCCTGCCCCCCCTCTACCCAAGGCTCACACCCTGACCATGTGACTGAAGGTCTTCACCTCACCCCACCTTCTCTTCTGACCCACACAGACAGACTCTCAAGTCCTGGGCTCCGACAGGTCCTCATGATTCTTTGGGTCAGCACAAGTCTCCTGTTCACTCAAGTGGTCCTTCTGACTGATTTTTATCCTTGCGGTGGTGTTTTTCCAGGCTGTTCATCAGCAGATTCTGAGCAACAAGTTCCTTATTGTACGAATGAGAGAACTTCTGTGGAGAAAAGAAGATTGTCAGAGGTTTTACCAAGAGCACGAAGGTAGGATCCCAAGAGGCGTGCAAGAGAGACTTTACCTGGACACACAAAGGCAGGCTCTCCACCACCAACTGTAAAATCGTAGCCAGTCTTCTAAAGTCTCAGTTTATACACAGGCTTTTCCTGATGATCAGGTTTTTGTTTTTTATATTTTCTAGGAAGGTTTGACCTCACAGTCCCAAGCAGAAACAGTTTTATGTCCTGATAACATCAGTAGTTACCATTTAGTAAATGTTTACTGTGTCAGACATTTCCTAATGTTCATGATTTCATTTAATTCTCCCAACAGCCCTATGAGGTAGGTTTTGTTATATCCCCAGTACACAGATTAGGAAACCAAGTTAGGGAAGTTAATGACTCACCCCAAATTGCAAAGGTTGTAAGTGGCAGAGCCAAGTATGTCAGACTCCAAGGTCCTTGTTCTTTTCTCTAAAACAGTTTTTATTATTCCATGTTAGGAGACAGAAGTACTAAAAGTTATCTTGGGCACCAGTGTCTTGATGAAGGTTCTCTCTCTTTG